GCGGGAATTGGAAAAGACGAGAATGGGATTTACAGCGCCCCGCCGCCTCCCGCTTCATATGGACGAATATGGACTTCACATTGCATAAAAAACACACACACACACACACACACACACACACACCTCATTCCTAGATGATTAAATAAAATACAGAGTAAATGACATATTTGTTGTTCGGTATCAACATCCGCGCATTTGATTTGACAGTTTCCCACCAGGAGCGGGAGTTCGGGGAGCCGGGGATCGAACCGTCGACCCAGGACCCACCGGACAAACCTGCGCTAGGCTACCACCTGAGCCATAGTACCTCCCTCCGTGCCCGGCTTTCATTTCATACGAAAAGTAAATATATGTGTAATATGTATAAATTTAAAGCATTTAAATTCAACAAACAACACAGAGAGAGCGCGCGCATTTAAACACGAGCCCAGAAAACAGGAAAAAGAAATTGTTGATGTTAAATTCACCGAGGAGAGTTCAGTCTTTCACCGGCTCCTCAGTCACTGTGCTGGTTTTATCATTTACTGTCGGGGGGGGGGGGGGGGGGGGGGGGGGGGGCTGCTGGAGCTCAGTCTTGAAGGCCCTCTATAACAATCATCATAATAATAATGATAATAATAATTATTAATTAATAATAATAATAATAAGAAGAAGAAGAAGAATAAAGAGCTCAAAGTGTAGGACACAGTGAATCAAAGCTCCTGCATATTATTTTATTTTCATCCAACTTTATTTATATTTACTATTTAAACAAAAGATGTTATTGATTAATTCTTTTCATTATCATATTTTAGATATATTTAAGATGTGTGACTTATCATTATTATTTTACATTATTAATAGAAATTATTTTCAACTGCTTATTAACCTTTAAAAAAACTCATGTCCATTCGTGACCCCCGCGTTATTACCACACTGTTCAACCAAAAGGCGCGTTTCTTCTTCATGTGCAGATTTAGCGGCTTGAAGAGGTGAAAGAATGAAAGAATGGAGTGATTCACGCGAAGGAAACAACCAAAACAACAGGAAAGTAATAAATAAATAAATATAGCTGTGTCTGATGACGTGTGGGTGTTGTTGTCTTTTTTATAATTAAGAATGTAAAAATCTAAATTGTAAGAAATCCGTTTGAGACATGTTAAAGTAACTAAATGAAATCAATAATTGAATGAATGTAGTGAACCGATCACACCATCAGAGCACTGAGGAAATAATGATTTGGTGTTTCACAACTATACAACTCAACAGTCCATAGTAATACAACTCAACATGGTCCATAATAATAATAATGATAATAATAACAATAATAATAATAACTGTTCCGGACAGCAGCATTTACAGAGGTCACAGTCACATTGACAGTTGTAAAGTAAAAACTCATCCAACCAATCAGAGGTGAGCGTCAACATCAGTAAAACTCATCTCATTTAGACTTATATGGACATTATACAATTACACTAGAAGGAAAAAATGGATGATCAACAACACACCCCCGCATCAGAGGGGGGGTGAAAGCTCAGGAAAAAAGCGAGTAAGTGGACCTTTGTTTTTTTTATCTCACACTCTCGATCCTTTTGCTTTTTACCTTTCCTTTGTTGTGACAGTGTGTGTGATTTTTAACCCATTTATAATATATAATTTATAAATAAGCCACAGGCCTAATAAGATATTGGTCAATAGTAATAACGGTCGTGGTAAACGAGATGAGAAGAGTAATTTAATTTAGCAAATACAAAAAAGTGACACACAGAACTAAACCAGTGAACCTCTGTCCTGTTGGTTTCTTCAGGACTAAAGCATGTCTCCCTGCTCACCGTGGAGCGGGTCTGGGGTCGGTGGAATGAAAAGGCCTGAGTGAATGAGTGAAGAGGTTCAGCCTTTAAAACAGCGGAGGTGATTTAATGATGAAAACACCGCGCGCCTTCCTGCACGAGGACAGAGGAGTAAAAACCTGCAGGAGCGAGATCATCCCTTCAATTATTCACAGATTCGTGTGTTTCTGCTGTTAACAGCTCAGTGTGACGGTCACACGCCAACCAGCCCTGCAACTATTCAGACCGTATGAGACTGACTGACATTCAGTCACGTCCTGCTCTGAAGTTTCAAAATTAAATGCATCTGCACAACATCCTGACTGAATAAACCTGAGGTGTGTTTTCATCATAACACTTTATCCTTTATATACTACATTTAAATAGACATGTGACTGTCTCTTTCACTCAGCTTGTATTCTGCTTCATGCAGAGTTTATGCAACATTTATAAATATCTCCCCTATCCTGTATGTTCATATGCATCCACTGATATAATTTATCTCCTACCACAAAGGCTGATTTCCGGCTGATTGACAGGAGGTCATGCAACAGCATTTATATTTAGTTAAAGCACTTTTATTAATTCCTTTTTTTCTAAAAAATAACACTGACACGGACGGGCGGTGACGTCCACCAACCCTCACCACAGTTACAGCCTGAACTCTGCAGTGTGCGCTATATAAATGCATCACATTTAATTTCCTCTGCTGTTATTTTAACAGAGAATGTTATAAATAAATATAAATATTATATGTTAATTAAAAATATAAATAATTACGGCTCAGGTCTGATAATGACTTATCGTCATCACTGTTCTAAACACAGTCACACGCATTATTTAAATACTGTGCTGCACTGGATCTTATTTTGAAGTTTGTGATGTAAATGATGAATATGAGGTAATGACTAGAACCGGCCCTCACAGTGTAGGTGTTCATGTTTCATGTGTTCTCCCTGATGTTTTCTGTCACTGCAGTTTCCCTCCACACAGCCCGACTCACTGACAAGTAGCTCCATGTTTGAAGGGATCAGATTAAACTAATATCCGCGGCTCTGCGGCAGTCACGCAGGACAGAGCCTCATCACAGCTAATCTGCTGGCAGGGCCCGCCAGGGGCCCGACTGGGGCCCGCAGAGAACCCACATCACTGCAGACAGGGGACACGGACAGCGGTTCAGAGGGACACAGGAGACTTTGCTGCTGACTCTATCTATCTATCTATCTATCTATCTATCTATCTATCTATCTATCTATCTATCTATCTATCTAGTTGTCAATATGACGTATTTTACTGCAGTTATTTTAATAGCAGGCTGAGCAATAAGAACAAATTAATACACTAAAGTAATGTAGCTACAAGCGCTAATAAATCCATTCTCCACATGTAACCAACATTTATTTCATTTTAACCACCTTCATATTTTCATGACTTTAACTCCCAAGAATTTCAAACAAAAAAATCATCATATTAATTATAACAATTTAAAAATAATATGTAGTAGTAGTAGAAAATAAAATTAAAAATCACACACATATATATATATATATATATATATATATATATGATTTTTATATTATATTTTTTATTGATTGAAGGTGTAGTATTTAAAATGAATTAATTAATATTAAGCGGCGATAATAACCGTAAGTAGGCTATATAATAGCGGTTTTTATATATAGTAGTATATATATCAGTTTAAAACAATTATTCTCTATTAACAAAAACACATTTAGTGAGGATGAGCTGAAGCAGTTTATCAGTCAGTTTCTCCTTCATCACACAAATCGGCCTGTTTACTAAACTTAATATAGGGCTACTTTCAATTTGAGTCACTTTTAAAATTGTAAACGCTGCAGCCAACATCCAATTATATATGCGTGTATATAAAACCAACAAAAACAACAACAAACCAGATTGTTGGGTTTGTTTTTTTTATGAGATTTGATGGCAATAATAAAAATAATAAAATGTCATTCACACGATGTCACAGTTGAATTGAGTGTCTTACCCTCAGGAAAGACTATTCTCATTTTCAGGTAGCTTGTGGTGAGCCGGATGATTGACGCTTTATCCAGCTGGGAGGTGATGGCGGAGGGTAACGGCAGCAGTTTGGCCAGTTCATAAAATTCACTGTTCTCCTTTTCCCGTCGAGTCCGGGCCGCGTTTTTAGATTTCTCCTTCATGTTGTCTTCTCTGTGTCACTGACGACTTCTCCTCTCAGTCCGTGTCCAGGTGTCTCATAGCATGTTCACGGCTCCACACAGGGACCTGCACTTCTTCCTCTGCTCGGCCTAACATCCACAGCTGCTGGCGCGCCGACACACTCCCATAAGTCCAGGTGTTTCGCTGGTTGGCGACAAGCGGGACACGGCTAATTCCTGGATTTCTGAGGATTAAAGTGTCACTGTGGTCAGCCCCATTGGAGGGCTCACCACACACTCGGACCCATTTACCTTCTGTTACAGGGAACTGTGGAACCACTGGAGACACAGGACGAAACACCATCAGACAGACCTGTATTTTCACCTTCATCAGGTAAGCTATCACTTACACTGAGTAGATAGCTAACTACAACCAAAAATGACACTTGTTTGAATCTTTCTGCAAACATTTCGTGTTTTAAAGTCATGTTAACTATAGGTCTATATACAGGCTGCTTGTTCTCTTACCTCAGATAGAACCGACAGTTTGCTAACGTGGCGCTTGTTGGGCTCAAAAGTGTCCGAGCATAATCTCCGAAATCCCCGACATCGGCATTTCTTCCATCCTAAGTGATTTTTATGGACAGCGGCGCATCCAGAGTCTCCTCCGTGGTGAAGGCTCGAGGACCTGCCCACCGCAGACGGCTGCACTTCTATTGGACGATGGCACGCCCTGTTCACACGTCTATTGGCTGCTCTTTATAATGACGCGCTCCAGGAGGAACGGGGATTGGCTGGTGGAGATGTTTCGCCTCTGGCCCAGGCTGGATCTAAAAACTCCCGGAGAACGTTCACCCTCCGATCTACAAACTGGTCTGCAGAGCTCCTTCAAAATATGTCACTTAAAAACAGCTATTTTCTATTAACAAAAACACATTTAGCGAGTAGTTTATCTGTCAGTTTCTCTGTCATCACACAGATCGACCTGTTTACTAAACTTAGTATAGGGCTACTTTCAATTTGAGTCATTTTTAAAATTGTAAACAACAAAATATGGAGTTACACTTGTCAGCTATAATATAGTATATAAATATTTCTTCATATATGTTGATTTTACAAACAAGTTTCCTGATGTGATGAGAACTGTCAGATTTCTGAACGCTGTTTATATCCTGAGCCTATATTGTTTCCCTGAGAAGGCAGAGGCCTCTCCAGCACGCGCTGCTCAGCTAGAGCTGCTGAGCTTCATGTTTTCTTTACATGGCCCATAGGTTTATGCAGCCTACGTCCTCTACACTCAAAATTAAAGCTGGAATTGGTTTTTAAATTTGTTCAAAATGAAAAGTAAAATGTTTATCAGTTCAGTCTCTCACAGGCTGAATCATTACACGGGGTTCATTCTCAGTTTCTTGGTAAGACATTTTCTTCAACGTGCAGTTCACAGAATATATTTCCTGTCACAAATAAAGGATTAATGTTTACTGGTGAACTATACTGTGCAATCACACAACAACAAGGGTCAGCAGGTCCTGGAGCCTCAAGCCTCATGAAGCTGTCACCTCACATTAACGCACAGCCAGTAAGATCAATGTTGTTGGCTGATTCAAGCTGTTCTTCATATTGTCCAACGCTTTGTGGAAGTCGACAGTCGCCAGCAGGAAGAAGGACTCATGATTATTATTCTTCATAATTCACCATATTAATTTAAGTGTGAACTGGTTTTCATGCTGTTGCAAAGCAAACTTAAATTCTAGGCTGCTGTCTGTTTCCATACAGGACAGGGTGATGGTGGTAAAGCGTCCACACTCCACCATGTCTCTCTCTCTCTCTCTCTCTCTCTCTCTCTCTCTCTCTCTTCTCTCTCTTCTCTCTCTCCCGCTCTGGTGGTGTTGGATCCGGTGCGGCCAGTCGGTAATGGGATCCAGCTTGCGGTGAGAAAATCATCGCTGCTTCAACCTTCACTCCAGCTCCGAGTTTAATCAGACTGCATCTGTGGAAAATGTGGATCTGATCATCTACGATAGTCCAGATGATGAACGTCCAGCATCAGGACGGACTCGGCCCAGATATGTCGGTTGACTATAGCCTACTGTTAAAAGATGAGGGTTTCATTGTTATTATAGAGGCACTTACGGAAACACATCTTAACCAAAGTTAACACAAACTATAAATCTTAATGTGTGTTTCTCACTCTGTAGTGTGGATCTTAAAATTATTTTTGATGTGGAAAAAAAAATGAGATAGAAAGGACTGGATTTTCCTGAACAAATAATGTAACAGAAATTATTATTACTGCTGTTAAATATTCTTATACTACTACTACTATTGTTATTATTATTATTATTATTATTATTATTATTATTATTATTATTATTTTATATTACACTGGTAGGTGTTTACTATATGTGAACCCAGGGCTGGATTACCAAACAGGCACAGCTGTGCTAATTTAAATTTCATTAATCAATCACTTGAAGCCTGTTCTTAAAGACAAATTGCAGTTTACCATTTTGGTGCTTCTATGTTGCAGACTCCAAATCATTTATATGTTCAATGAACTTACACCACAGCAAACCTGGGGCCACACAGTATTCCATTATATCACTGACAAACTGGACAAACTGCACGGACAGACCAACGCTGGTACAATGACAATCCTGTTTTGTCTTCAACTGGTCAGGTACAGTCTGTGTAACTTGATTTCACATGATTTCTTTGTGTCACATTCATATGTGGAAAAAAATCAGATAGGACTTAAATATTTGCTGTTTCAGGATTTTAGAAATACTGGTCATAAATATTGAATAATATTTAATATTTATCCTCAAATAATATCATATTCTCCCACAGAACAACTGCAGCCATAAAGGACATTTTTGACTATACCCCAAAATATTAACATCTGGTTATTAAAGATAAATACATAAATAAATAATTGTACAGTAATTTTACAATAATAATGTTTTTAACTTTTCAATTATGTATTTTGTGAATGTTATCTTCCAATATATGGTTTATTGTTTTCAAACCTCTCTGTACACTGCCATGTATTTGACTGTGGTGAAAAATAAAAAATCTATGCTGGGTTAAAGCGTCATATATGGTCTAAAAATACCAAACTGTCCGAAAAATCAAGTGTGTGCAAGTACAAACTATTAGTTATTGTTGGGTTCTGTTGGACCATTGGGATGCAGGGATTATCGGGTTGTGATAAATTATTTCAAAATTTTAATTTAAGCTAAATGAGTAACTTTGTCTGTGCAGTTATTTCTGCATTTGAGTTTCTGCCAGGGTTAAAGTGTCATTGATACTGTGGTGGTTGACTCAGTAACATTTCATAATCATTTTCCTCAGTCCGTTTCTTGCATTGTAACAGGGAGTATAAGCATATTGGCCCAGTGTCCAACGTTTTTTAAAGATTCTTCTGTCCGCGCGGAAGATGCCAGAGACAACGTTCAGTGCCAGCAGGCCTTTTCCACAGAGCATATGTTGACATGTCAAAGAATTAAAAGCAAAGATGGACATAATCAAATTAATGATGGCTGAATTCCATTTCACTGGCTCACTGTCACAATGCCATGGCTTACTGGGACACTTGAACAGGACAGAGCCATTGTTAATGTTATGAGTAACATATGTGCTTTTCCTGCTATAACAAGTCAATGTGTCTGCTGTGAAAAAGGTCTCTACAGGAAGTAATGTGGCCTTTAAGTCGTGATGTAGGGTGTGGAGGTCAGGGTGACTGGAGACTGGAGTTTGCATTCTGTCTCAAACCTAAGGCTTTTTTTTTAATCAAGTGTTATGGCTGAAGCCAAGAACACAGCTCAAAGGACCTAAAAGGCCCATAAACTGTGAAGTTGCTTTTAATGAAAAAATAACAAGCTTACTTTAGGGTTGGGTGGTAATAAGGTAATACAGTGTCCTGGGGTAGTAAAGACAGTGTCCATGTCTTTACTGTCATTAAAATCTCTGCAATGTGTGCATATATAGTCTATAATAAACACCTTTAGACTGTTTGTCCAGCACCACTGACTGCATGGTTGAAGATGCTATGAAAGTGATGACAGAACATTTTCTAAACGATTTAATTTGTCAGATAAATAACCTGTGAGGGAAGACTTTCTAAGTATTTAGAAGTGATAATAACTGCACATTACGTAACAGCTTCTCCTCAGAAGGAAGAATGCTCTGAGCAACCTGAATGACGGTCACACAGAGAGGGATGGTCGAGAGACAGACAGGGATGGTAAGCACTCTGGCCCACTGAGGCAGTTGAATTTCTCCCTGTGCTCCTGAGAGCCAGTCTGTTGTCAATGTGTTTGTGTGCGTGTGAGAAAGAGGGTGGTGCTGGGAGTGACTGGTACCACTTTACAATCAGACGCCCCTTGCAAAAGATTTATGAATAGTTTATAACTAGTTTATTAATTCGCTTGCTAACACTATAATTCATTTAAAAACTGTTATAACACATTTGATAAAAAGGGCAACAGTGACCTGTTACTTGCCAAATAGTGAGCCCACATTTCTCTGTACTGTTCAGCCTCATATCTCATTAGTTGCTGAGCTTTCTTTGTTTTCTCCATCATCAGCATTTGTAGCTGCTGCTTCATCACATGTTTGTTAAATTAGTAGCAGTTAACCACCGTCAGCATCTTAATGGTAAAAAAGTTTCATTTGGAAAACCAAATTCTGGCAGATCACATGATCATATCAAATGACCAGATTCATCCTCTAGGGCCTTGGCAGTGTTGTTTACCTTGACATGCTCTCAGCAGCTGTCCTCATTCTAATCACAGCTGTTGATCAGAGATTAACATGGAGATGCTTTCTGCTGGTTGGTCTCTTCTTTAGGACTTTAACATGCAGCTAGAACACAGGTGGGAACCTTCCTTTACCTTGTGAACTGCTCACTCATTCTTTGTCCCTGTTCACATCTCTGTGATTCTCCTGATGGAGGAATCCTGTGATTCCTCCATCCATCTTCATGTTCAGTTATAGATAAATAATTAGTTATAAATAATAGTAACTCATTAGTAAGATTA